TTTATATTTATGTTATTTTTTTATCACCTTTATTTTTGGGGCTAAAACAACTACCTACTTTTGATTTTTAAATGGCAACCTATACTGAAAAATTCCATAAATAAATGGAGTATCATTAGTGTGGCGGTACAGCGCACGGCGTGTTAATAATGCACCACTACTCTCCACCTACCTAAAATTAAATATGGTATATCTTGTCAACGGTTTGGCAGAAATCAAACATTTCAACACTAAAATTTATTTTAACCAAAAAATTTATTTATGGACTTTTTAATATAGGTTGCCATTTTCAAATCAAAAGTAGGTTATTGTTATACCTCTAAAAATAAAGGTGTCAAAATATAACATTTATATAAAATTGTGGAGCAGCTTGTTTTTTATATGTTCTAAAAAACGAATTCCGGAAAAAGTTAATACTTTCCTAGATAATGAGTGTACTCACTTAAATGAATCACCTGGTATACTTTGCACAATGTCTTTATAAGCTAATTTATATTATTTAGTTAAAAGAGATGAAATAATGGGAATTGGGATTTAACGTAAAAAGTTATCGTAAAACCTATGTGCTTGCAAAGTATGAATTTGTTTTAATGCTTAGGAGTATAAATGTAAATTTGAAACAATTAATAGGATATTTTAAAGTGTATTGGTTATGACCTACAAGATATTATTTTTTCAATAAAAGTTAAAATTCAATGTACTTATTTAAATACTATAGATTTTATAACAAATAAAGGATCAAACTTTATAGATTTAAGTAGTTATGTCTTAATTTATACATCCCGGCCGTATTTTGAAGATAACAATGGAAAAATAAGACCTTATCTGTTGATCCTTATCTTCTGAAAGCTACAAAAAATACATTGTTCCGATATAAATTTAAAATTATTGATGATTTAAAGAAAAACAATATCTTCAGTTATTTTATAACCAAGTTAGTAATTTTCATTTAACTCCAAAATTAGCACATCCGAAAACATAAAAAAACGACAAAAGAACTTTTTCGTTGCATTTTAATCTAGTTGGAAACCAAGTAGTTAATTTTTTGATTTTTGAAGTAGTATTTTAATAATTGAGTAAAACGGAAAAAAGAAAGAAAGAACGAGAAAATATTGCTTTTAATATTTTTAATTTTGTTTTTTTGTTGTGATTAACTAAAAACATTAGTAGAGACTTTAAATTTTGATAGGAAACTTTTCTAGACATGGTAAAATTTTAAATACATTTAGGCCATTTTACATAAAACAAAAAGTGGACAATTCGAATCATTACCAAACTGTATTATTTGTTCCTGTTTATATTTTGTTTTATTGATAATGTTGTGAATTCAATGCGCTGAAAATCTTAAGGAAAAGCATTTAAATTTCCAAAAATGTATTCTATTACAAATTGAAAAATAAAACAGCTATGAACAGCAGAACTGATTCGACATTTTTGTACAAGAAATAACCGAACGCTATAATATTACAATTGTATATGACTACTTACAAATAAATGGTGAAATTTAACATTAAATGTTTAAGTGCTAATTTTGAAATCCCTAAAAGGAAAATCCTTGTCATTAATGTAATACATTATACCTACCTGCGTTGTCTACGGGAGTTATTTTAAAGTTACTTTTTGAGAACTAAATAATTGTTTAAAGGTATTTTAGTGTATTATATTCACAGCCCTAGTTTCAAAATTAGTAAAAATGTCATTGATATAACATTTATTTAATTTTATCTTGACGGCGAACATTGATAATATAATATAACATGATGATACATATAAAACCATAGTGAATACGATTCTGTGCGATTCGATGGATGAGCAGTATACGAAATCCATTTAACTCGACCAATTTAATTTTCAGTACAAGCTAATGGTCGGGTAAGTACTTTTCTATCCCGACTATAGAAGCGGTATTAAGTCCCTGGGAATACAATACAATCCATACAATTGTATAATATCGTTTTATTCCCATCTCGTTTTTCAGTTTATGTTATACGGTGAGTTTAATGTGTATGTAATATGCCGGCGGCGCGACAGGCGGACACGGAAATCGTTCACCGTACAGACTTTTCGTTAAGCCAATTTTTATATTATTTTATATAGTATTTTTCAAAACTGTAATACGCGAAGGTGTGTACCTATTGTGTTTTATTCTTTTCGGAAACAATAATAACTCTAAAACAATACTAACATCATAATTACCACTAAAACTTTTGTCGTATACCCAAACCATAGCTAGCCGCAAATTGCACAAAGGTTTATAAAGGAAACAAAACATTTGGCGGGGATTTATTTGTTTTTTTTTTTTTTTATCAGATAAAATATTCGTTTGTTATTTGTATATCACGCGATATAATCTCCGGACGATTTCGTCGTTTCTTTCTTTTTTGCTTTGTCTAATACCTACTCGAGATTAGTGGAGGCATATAATAATATTATATAATTTACGGTAAGATCTTTTAAAATTTAAATATAATTTCCAACAAAAAAAAATGTAGGTAAATTCGGAAGATAGGCGGTTGTTTCGATATCATTACGGTTAAATGTCTTGGATTTCCACCGGTGATAAATAAATGGATAAGATGCGTTAGTATTTTTTTTTTCTTTTTTCAAAACTGAAATAATAAGAACCGATTTAATTTCAAATAAAATGTAGCGACGTGAATTCTAATGATATACTGTGCAAAGTTTAATCGGTTGAGAATTTATATTTAAAGTTTACCATAAACTTTATATTATAGATTGTATAAACATATACACAACATATATGCGGAAATTGTTTAGATCCAATTTAAATGTCAGAACTTTTAGTGGAATATTACAATTTCCTATAAAAGTAGGTGTATATAATGTATATTATTTACTGCGTATCGAATCAACATTGTTAGTACGGCCGGAAACAATGATTGTGCCGCAGCGAACTGCGTCGGTTAAAACGTATACAGAACGAATGATAAAACATTTCAAAGAACGATAAACTATAATATTATAAGAGCTACGTCGTTTCGTCACATATAATAATGATTACCTATATTTCGTTTTAGTTAAAACTGAGATATATATTGAGAATTATTAAGAAAATTATATGAAAAATCAAGAAATAATTTAATCGTAACGCCATACATTTGTCCATAATTATTTTAAGTACAAGTAATTTAAAAGTCCAGAAAACAGATCTCATACGAAATAAATATCAAACATAATCTAAAATGTCAAAATCGACGTTGTCGTATTTTACACTTGAGTAGATAACATTTCAACCCTCATATAGATTTTATGGAATCTACTGCACTAATAATGACAAGCATCAAGACAATAAGTATACACGAGTGCGGTCAGATGGAAACGCTATAAATATTTGTATATACGTGTGTTTTTTTTTTTTAATCATTTTACACAACAAATAATCAGTTGATTTACTATATTCAATTCAACTGTACAGTTTTGATAGTTGAAAATCATTGTTTTTTTTTTTTATTTTATCATTATTGCGTCGTTATTTTTAATTTTTATTATTATCACGGTACCTAGAGGTAAATTTAAAACTTTAACTACATTAGGTACTCAAATATTTCGTAATGTTAACACAATTAATAGATACAGGTAATATTTTTATCAAAATACGACAAATATTCACTATCAATAAATGTTGTAACTTTTTGTCGAGCACGTTTTCGATAATATATTCTGCTGTGATTCACGGCAATCCATATAATCTATCGATTTCACCAGTACCTACGTTGATAAATGTATATTTAATAAATTATAACAACAATAAAAAAAACCTTTTATCACAAATCATTGAATATTTGAAGTAAATTGAATTCCTTTTTTTTCTATTGATTATTGATTAAAATGCAAATAATTCCATTTTTCTCAAAACGTCCTAGTTCATACACCCTTTAAATAAACATCAAATTTCGATTTTATAAAAGAAAGCAATAGCTCGTAAGTAACGATTATAATACGTATTTCAAATTTGAATAGAGATTATACTTTTCTTAAAACGTTGATGCATTTACCCGTGTTTATCATCCGAAACCGTGGATTATTTTAATACTATAAAAAACATAAAAAGCTTTAAGATTTACGAATTTATGATGAATTGAATTTAGAGCCACCCTCGTTTATTGAATTTTCCATTTGAAAAATGAGATTTTGACTAAGAAATGTATTTTTATTTAGTTCTACGCAAATAAATAATAAAATTATAATATTTTAATAGACTTCCATTTGAACTTTAAAAGTTATTATGTTCTTAAAATTCTCATACAATTATGGTTGGTAACAATATACATGTTGTAGGTTTCATCTCGATGCTACATTTTTTAAACGTGCAGTCATCGCGAGAACTTATTTCAAACATCAAAATTCTGTATTAATCTTGACCTCTTCTTGTTCACATAATCCTAATATACTTAGTCCTTCTTTTCCTAGTTATAGGCTTGAATAATAAACGTTCACTATTTTGAAATAAAAACAGATATTTACGCAGGAATATCGAGAAAACGCCACACCTACGTGTGTGTCTCAGTCCAATCTATAGGCAACATAGCAATATTACAATACTTAAAATGTAAATAAAGGTGTTTAGGTTGAAATCAGAATACGAATGAATATGACAAAATTTAAAGAACAGAATATTTTAAAGGACTGTACGTAACATTTTTCTGAAAAATCAGCACACAAAATGTTATAAATGTTTAAAACAAACATATATTACAATATGGAAGATATTCTATTCTTTAAATTTTTTTATTTTTGTTTAAACTCTAATTTCGATCTAATCGTGTATTAATGGTTTAAGTAAAATAGTTTTATTATATGATAATTAGTCTGAAACAGTAGATGCGGGTATGTGAAATTATAAATAAGTAGCCTATAGAAATATAGAATGTCAGAATTATCACGAAGATACACATATTATTGTGATACGAGAGTTGTCCCAAAAGTAATGCACAATTTGCTCTGAATAAATAAGTTTATATTTTAAACTAAATACAATATTATAGACCTTCGATATAATCTCCCTGCTTGTCTATACACGATTGCCATCGTTTCGGGAGCTCTTGAATGCCGCATAGGACGCCATCTTTGTTGAGTTCACGGATCCTTCGGCTCACTTCTTCATTTAGTATATCTAAGTTGGGAAAACGGATCCCTCTAAGTGGTTCCTTCAGTTTTGGAAATAAATCAAAGTCCGGGGGACTTAAATCCGGCGAATACGGTGGGTGTTTGAGGCGTTCCCATCCATATTTCTCCAAAAGAGCGACGACTGGTGCTCCGATATGCGGCCGCGCATTATCGTGCAATATGGACACACCATTTTGTAACATTCCTGGTCGCTTTTTACGGATTTCTGGTCGCAATTTTTTGGCAAGGAATGTTTTGTAGTAATCCCCGGTTACACTACTGCCAATTGGAACTCGATCAGTGACAATTATCCCAAGTTTATCGTAAGCAAAAATCATCATTTGTTTCACCTTTGTTTGCTGGGTTGTTATCAATACTTATACGACCATCACGGAATCGCTGATGCCATCTTTGCACCGTACTGCGATCCACAGTATCCGTTCCACACACTTCATTTAACGCGGCATGAATTCCAGGCACTGTTTTACCACGAATCGTTTCGATTTTAATGTATGCGCGTTGCTCAAAAACAAAAATGTGAGCCGACGAATTGTTCTCACTTTCGTTATCGCTCTCACACATCATCATACTTTACTAAAACAACTAAAACTGAGAACGCACGGGTTCGTTAGACTTCAAGGTACAAACTGATAATAAAATCAGCTGATAATATCACAGTGCAAGACAGCTAGTGCTGTGCATTACTTTTGGGACAACCCTAGTATAATGCCTTTATTTACACTAATTTTAGTTTATATTGTTAGTATTAATTGTCTATCTACGTAAACTGTAAATCATTATCGTATTAATATTAAAAGTTTTCTTAATTTACTATCTTATTAAATTAAAACCAATTTATAGGTAAACATGCACATCATTTCGTGATACTCGGCTTTGATACTGTATAATGTTCTTCATAATGATTGTGTAGTATTTTTAATATTTATATAGATTTAGTAATATGCCTTACTATTTACTATATTTACTTACTATTTTTTATTCTTTTAATTTATTGTAAAACAGCAAATTTGGTATTATAGTCTTAATTATGGTTTAATAAGGATTTTGATTTTTTTTTTCCGTGGATTCTGGTGGAAATTACTAGACAACACGATCTGATTTTTCCATGTAGCACATTTAATGAAAGGAAATAGGTATGGCGAGTTACTAAAGGGTGTCATTTTTTCGATTTTCTCAATGGTTTTCACCTCAAATATTAAAAATCTAAACACACAGAGATATGTACGAAATATATTATTAAAATATAAGTCATATTTTTTTTCTGTTGACAACCATTTTCCCAGTTATTTAAAATGATAGCAATTTTTCTAAAAGTAAATCTCACAGGGAAGGTACTCCCTAAAGTACCTAGATAGTCGTATTTCGATTTTCTAAAAACTACATACATGAATATTTGGGTTTCATAACAGATGGAAAGCATGTGTTTTATTCTATTTTACATGGCCATACAAATGGGTTTAGTCTGTCAATGTTTTTAGGAGTAAACATAAGGATTCTTTCATATGGGTCTTGTCAGTATGCTCGTATGTTAATAAACATTAGTGCGCGGATTTTGTATTGCCTTTTAGTCAAATCATCATACCTGTCTATAATACTTTAGTTGTTATTTTTAAAATAGTAATTTTACAAAATAGATAGTCGTTATATCGAAGAATAAAATCTGGTAAACATGAGAATATTGTATATTGTATACCTACACCTGTACTTATTTATGATCATGGTACATGAAGGGAAATNAAGCTACAAACTGATACTAAAATCAGCTGATAATATCACATTGCAAGACAGCTAGAGTGCGTTGTGCATTACTTTTGGGACAACCCTCGTATATCCTGAGTTAAAAAGAAATCAAATTCTTTTTTTTTAATAACACGAAGAAAAGAGACTACAAATACTACAATTTTAATTAAATTTGTATGTTTTGGTAAGATATTTTATTTTCTTATTTTCAAAAAATTTGAGACCCATTTGCTAAGTTTTATCTACAGACAATTTCGACGTTTCAATTTTTTTATTTTTATATTTTTTTTTATTTTAGAAAAAAATAGAAAACTATTTAATACCATAGTAGCGTTTTGACATTATCTCATTTTCTGATAACTTTTGTTTAACAATAGGTTTTATGATAACACTAAAACACTATTATGTTTAATACACTATTTTCCTGTAAACTAAAAAATCGTGAGGTAAATGATAATGAAAAGTTGAAATATCAAAATGTTCAGCGGAATAAAACCCTGTAGAATAGTTGTCTTTGAATCATTCAAAAATAATAAAATAAAAAGCTATCATCAAATTAATTAATTAAATATATTTTTGACCGAAATGTATAAATTTAATTCAAAATTAATATTTATAGTCCTTATTTCTATGTACCGTATAAAAAAAAAAAAAAACAGATTTTTTGTGTCTTCGTCATCTTAGGAGATATTTCAATGTGTAAATCTTCGTGAGATTCTGTAGTATACGAGATTATAATCGTATTATCCATAAGCACTTTGACTTTTAGAAAATCTAGATAAATATTTCGGTTATGCTTGAGTACGTGTAACGGAAAAAGCCCAAATGCCCCAGGTATACCGATTTTCATCGAGAGAATCGCTTTGTGTGGGTTTTAAACGACCGCATTTATAGGGCGATTCTCGATTTCTTCGATCATGGTAGAACGGTTTACGATCATGTTTCACGTTCGAGGACCTCAAAAGACAGAGTTAAAATCCGTTATAGTTAGGTACATTGGTCGTAACTCGTAAAAAATACAAGTGGCTATATATTCTGATTGGGAATGTTATCCTGGTAAAAATAAACGACGACCGTCATTACTTTCAAATAGATCCTACTGTGGAGATCTGTTTGATATATTTATACATTTTATTTTTTTATATTTTGCCACGGATTCGAGTAGCGCAGATAATACACTGCGGTCCGCGAGCTCGGAGCTCGGTTTATGAATATTTATATTTTTTTCTCGTCCTAGAATACGCCATCGCGCCTAAATAATAATAATCTAATAAACCTATAGTGATAGGAATTCTGAATACCGATAGAAATTATTTGTTTATCGCCTCGTATCTGTAAGAATGGACTTTTTATTTAATCCTGAGTGGAGCGAAGAATGTATGGGCTTAACTATAGTATGTGCTTATTTTAAGATTCTGAACGGAACGAGGAATGTGTTGGTTTTACTATATGAAATGTGATTTTGTAAAAATTTGTGAACAACTTTTTTACTAGAAATCTTGCTCCTTTCACAAAATTTAAAAAGAAATTTTTGTACATTAATATATCTTATACATACATGGGGATTAAACGAAAATGTGTAACAAAAAAAATTCAACGTGCGTCAATCAAGAAGGACAATATATTTACTTTGAATAACAAGTGAATTAAATTAAAAAATTAGTTTTGTATTTTATATAATTTAAAACTTTATTATACTGTCAAATATAATTCTTATACAGCCTTATGCATAGTTTTTCTATTTTACATTTAAATTGTTGTCGCAAGAATTTACACTAATAATGTAATAAACTTTAGTACAAAAAAAACGACGAAGGGAGAGGAGATTGTGAAATCCACATTATCAGATATTCGCATTTTATCGAATTTTCATTCCTAATCAAATCTATTTTCAGAAATCGTTAATTCAACCGTAACTGTATTTAAAAAAATACTAAACAATAAAAACATAATAGTATATAACGCTTATGAGATAGTTATCTTGAATAACCAAAATTGGTTTAACAATGTAGGTCCATTAAAAGTTGTATTTAATATTCAAAAACATTAAAAAGTTAAGCTTAATGAATGCATTAGTTTTTTTTTTATACGCATTTCAACATTAAATGTTGACGAAAATCGTAAATACGTATTTCAGTATTTCAAAACATGTATAACCGAAATTCACTTAGAATCGTTATTCGTTTTCATCGGTTTATCGTTGCTTACAGTTATAAATTAAATAACATTTTGTATTTTACTATCTCGATTTTTTGAGTCAACTCGAAAAACGTGAGAAATCAGCAAACATTTCACGATGGATTGCATTATTAATAATGAAAATGAAAACAAAACGAGCACAACACAAATAATAAGGAAACGATATGTCTTAAAAACAGATCAATATTATATAAAGACGTCGTCAGATACACCGGTGTGTGTTTGGTAGTATAAACGCGTGTCGGAAGAAAATCAAAGGAGGGAATCGTAAATAAACTGTACAATATCATTTACTACTTTGTCTCTATTTTAACTATTCGGAAACGATCGGTTTACGTTTACAAAGAACATTTATTGCCACTTTCAGATGTTTTATATCCCTTTCTTCGTGACCATTCTGCGTATTATAGAAAAACGTACATGTATACATGTATATATTCACAATTTATATTCTCCAATAATAATAATTGTTTTAATACTCCTACTATATATATATATATACATATACATAGGTATATTCGATGAGTACCTAGTATTTTTTGCATAGAAAAAACTATAGGATATACCTATACGCTCATTTATATATTTAAGCGACCAATATTGTGATTTTGTTTGCTGAAAACTAATCAGATTCAATCGTTCAAAAATTCGATCGCTTCGCTATTTTACACTATTTTACATACGAGTAGTTCCCTACGTTAAAAATTCGAACAATTTACAGAAACAATTTTTTTGCTCCCCAGTTTTGTATATTTTTCTTGTATGTATTATGTATATGTATTCTATTTGTATGTATCTACCTCCGTGTTAAAAACTATTCCACAGGTCAGATATCATTTAATAATTTTTTAGGCTATACAATGGTAGTTGTATTACTCTGTGGCAGTGGCGGCAACTCAAACATTTTATCAAAAAAAAAAATACTTCAATTACAGTCAAAACAATTAACTATATACGTGACTATACGTAACAAGTATACCAATATTTAATAATAACCGTAGCCACATATTTCATAAAGTGATAACATTGTGATAATGTAATCACGAACTAAAACAATATGAACTGTGACAGCGTAACCCGCAATATTAGCGGTTGAGTTGTAATACGGAGTTTGTGGTTGGGTTAAACAAAGAGACCATAGCAATACTTGTTAGAAAACAATAACAATTATTTATCAGTGTTAAATGTGGCTTTGAATAAAATTGAATATCTTTTTTTTAATTCAGAAAAAAAAATTGAATATTTTGAACATTTTTCGAACATGGCCTATTTTTTCCACTTAAATTTCATTCTCAGACCACTGAGCTCCGTATCCGACTGCATCCGTATCTAACTTCATGCCTTTTTATTGCCAGTTAATATCTTATTTATCATTATCTTG